GCATAGGGAAACCTTGTCTCAAAAAGACAAACAAACAAACAAACAGAAAAAGAAATTGTTTCCGGGACACCCCTGCCTCAGCCGCCTAGCCCCTGTGTCTTTGATCTGGAATGGGTGGGAGGCTCTCTACTCGGGTCCACTGCTGCTCAGAGGCCAGTGGCGGGGCCTGTGTAAGCCTGGGCGGGGAGTAAAGTTACTCACATAGAAGAAGGCAATAGGACCGGCGTGGAAAGTGATCATCACCCCGAGGACAAAAGTCAGCTGGGACAGCACGATGTGCAGAGCTGCGGCGGCCAGGTAAGCGTTGACCACAGCCTCCGGAAGGTACATGGCCATGAAGCCGATGCCTAATACACCCATGGAGAGCTGCGGGCCGGCAGAAGAGGGCCAGAGGGGCAGATGTCACCAAACCAGGCCGAGAAGTCTGTCCTCACCGGGGTCCCCCCCGTGGGTCTCTATAGCTGTCCCTATTTTCCTGTCACCCAACACACCCTCCAGAGTCCCACCTCCACCCCATCCTCACTTGGAGACTGCCTCCAGTTCCGTCATTCTGCCCCTTCCACAATGTCCTGTACGTCAGGTAAACTCTTCTATGTTCAATTTCATTGATGTTACACTTGATCTTAGCCAAAAGGCCGAAAAGTGATTTACTTGCTTTTTTTTCTTTTTTTTTTTTGTCTTTTTGAGACAGGGTCTCACTATGCAGGTCAGGCTGGCCTTGAGCTCACTTTGTAGCCCAGGCTGGCTGAGAACTCCCAACGATCCTCCTGCCTCAGCCTCCTGAGTGCTGGGATTATAGATGTGTGCCACCATGCCTGGCATACTTGCTTCTTTGATTAATGTCTGCATATTTTTTTTGCATTCATCTACTTTCAATCTGCCTATATTATTCTATTTGATGTTAATTTCTCATAGATAGCATATTTTTAACATATCGACCTCTGCCTTTAATATAAGTGTTCATACATTAGGGCTTAAATCTGTCACTTTTTTAGCTCATTCTCTCTGATTTTTCACCCTCTCCCCTTCTTTTTGGTATTCCACTTTCATTTATCTGCAATATTTTTTATTTGTTTTGTTTTGCTTTTTTGCAGTACTGGAGATTAAACCGATGGCCTTTTACCACTGATCTTTTCCCTCAACCCCTTCTATTTTTTTTTACTTCGGGACAGGGTCTTGCTAAATTATCCAGACTGGCCTCAAATTTGTTGATCCTCCTCCCTCAGCCTCTTGAGTGGCTGGGATTACAGGCATGTGCCACCGTGTCTGGTTTATATGTAACATTTTTGAGTGTGTTTCTTTGTATAGCTTTTTAGCTGTTGCCCAAGAAATTATATTACATACATACCATAAACACAGTTTACTGGTGTTGACAAACTGCCAGCTAAGTTTCCCCTCCTTTTATGTCTTTTACGTGAGAACTGTTTAGCATTTTCTCAGATACTGTTATAATTTTGCTTTGGCTGTCAAATATAATTTTACAAGTTCAATAGGAGAGGGCAAATCTATCATATTTACCCAGGCTTCTAAACTTCTTCAGTAGTTCTCTTTTCCTTTGTGATGTTAAGATTCCTTTTTTACCATTTCTTTTCTGTTTCAAAAACTTCCTTTATCCATTCTTCTAGAATAAGTGTGCCGGTGAAAAGTTCTGTTTGATTTTCTTCATCTCAGAGTAATATCTTGATTTGTCCTTTTACTCCTGAAAGGTATTTTCACTGGGTATGGAATTTTGTATTGACAATTTGTTTTTGTTTTTATTTTTTTGAGACAGGGTCTTGCTGTGTAGTTCAGGCTGGGCTTCAACTCGTATGTAGCACGGGGTGGTATTCCTCCTTGAACTTGAGGTATTCCTCCTGCCTCAGCTTCCTGAGTACTGGAATTACAAGTATGCACCATGATGACCAGTGGATTGATCGTTCTTTCTTTTGAGATCTGAGAAATATTGTGAAAAAAAGAAATATTGTGCCACTTCCCTCTGGACTCCATGGAGGTAAAATATTATTTCTCTTGCTGCTTTGAAGAGTCTTCTTGCTGTTGTATTTAGTTTTCGGAAGTTGTTTCTCACGTGTCTCAGTGTGAATATCTATGAGTTTTCTTATTTAGATTTTCTCAGCCTCTTACATCTGTAGGTTCCTCTCTATAAATTTGGGGAGTTA